ACTCAGGGCCTCCCCCCCAGAACCGCAACTCTGGGGCACCACTGCCTTCTCCACCAACCGTACTTCTAACAATAGCTGTCAGCATCGTTTGCTTCTGAATCTCTCCTCGGCTCAGAGCTTGGACTTGCAAGACATTTTCCTCAAGGCTCCTTTCTGTTCTGGTCAAATAAAGCACACGGCACTCCCCTATCTAGTCAGGCTCTCAGTACTCGTGGGTATGCAGAAGCTAAACATTTTTTGGAAGCTGAAACTTAAAATAATTGAAAAGATTTCTATGTTAAAATGAACATCTGTAAATGATAAAATAAACTGAAAAATTCACATGAAGTTTTAGGATAAGAGACCCTCTCAGGCTCAGACTGGGCTCTTCGCTAAAACCTGATTTCCAGAGGTGGGCATTTACTCCCCTCAGCTTTAGGGATATACCTACAGAAAACAGCAATCCCACCCAACATTCTGCTACAGATGCAGAGGCTAAGCCTTGGCAGGGAATCCACCAGCTCTGGTACCGGGCTTGCCCACCTGCGCATGCCAGGTCCAAGTGGGACAGTTCACGAAGGCACAACGCATGGCCGAAAATCGGTTTGAAAGTCAAATGTATGAAGTTCAAATGACGAATTTACTGTTACAAGCAAAGTATTGGTCTCAGAAAGCAAAACACATTTCAAAATCCAGTCAAGAAATTTTTCTCTTGCCCAGGTGGCACTGCTGATGGGCAAGAACCTCCACGGTCCCTCCGAGCAAGAAGCAGATGCTGGTGTGCGAGAGGGCACCCGCGGAGCGCCAGTCTGTCCTCCCACCTGAAGGCCACCCCACCTTGCCCTGTGGCAGGAGTCAGCGGGTGGGGAGCAGAAGACTAGGAGCAGGGTCCCACGTCTCCCAGGCTGGGGCTTCAGCACAGCGCTCCCCTGGGAGGCTCATCAACCAGCTGCCACCACAGACAGGAACCAGAAAACACTCCCCGCCTCAGGCTGAAGTCACACACTTTCACACCCCTTCCCCTCCGGCTGGAACAGCAAACTCAAGTCTATCAGATGATTATTGGAATTGCCAGTGCCTGGAGAACCACAAAAGCCTGAATTCTGCGTGTGAAAAGGAGTTTGGTTGGTGTCAGTGCAGACTGAATGAAAGAGCAGGTGTACGGTCAGAGGCTTAGGTCCAGGAGACCCTCAGGTGAAGAGCTGCATCCTCCTCACGGCCTTACCGTCGAAGTCATTCAGTGGCTCCTTTCTGGCTTGGTGTCTTCGTCCATTCAGGTTGCTATAACGAGACACCATAGACTGGGGGCGCTTATAAGCAACAGAAATTGAGTTCTCATAGTTCTAGAGACCGGGAAGTCCAAGATCAAGATGCCTGGAGATTTAGTGTCTGGTGAAGGCCTGCTTCTTGGTTCCCGTGTTTTCTTGCTGTGTCGTCACATGGCAGAAGGTAGGGAGCTCTCTGGGGTCTCTTTGATAGGGTTCTACCTTCAGTGAGGGCTCTACCCTTCCAACCTAATCGCCTCCCAAAGGCCCCACCTCCAAGTATCTTTGCATTGGAGATTAGGTTTCAATAGAGGGATGCTGTGGGGATGCAAACATTAAGACCATAGCATTCGGTAGGATGGGATTGGGAAGCTGAAGGAGGCTGGCCTAACTTTTCTCTTTGGCTAAAACATGACTAGCCTTCAAGACACACAGTCGATCAAAACAGCAAGACTAGCAGTTGCATTTCATGAAGTGCGTGCCAGGCACTTTGGCAGGCACCACAAACGCGTGATACCATCCCTCACTTACCGTAGTGAGGAGGCTGACTTCTCAAGTTCCTCATACAGTCAACAATGAGGTAGAGAGACACATACTCAGGCAAGTCTGACTCTTACCCAATACACTACACTGTCTCCATTACCAAATTCACTCCTCTTTAAGGTTGTAGGCCCCTTTCCTCGCTGGCGATCCGTAAAATAAACATGGTTGGATTACATGGAACATCAGAAGCATGCAGTTTCATAAATCAATTTTCCCAAATATAGGACTATGTTTTGCCAACTTAGTCTCAACTTCTTTCAATGTTCAATGTGCTCCAGTGATGGGCATACTTTATGTAGAGCTGAAGTGAGTTTTGTTTCTATTTAAGTAATCCCTACAGCCAAGGTGGGGCTCCAACTCACGACCCCAAGATCAAGAGCCACAAGATCAGCCTCTACCGACTGAGCCAGCCTGGCGCCCCTGAACAGTGAGTTTAGTAATGGCAGCAAGTTGTACCTGTGAACTAGCTGTTCTGGGAAGGTGGTTTTCCCCGTAATAAGTCTGCTTATAAACTGCCCATCAAACAAGGCAAGAGGAACCTTTCTTCTGTCTCTAACTGAAGGGCCAGCCAGTCCGTTTCCTTTCTAGAAGAGACATCGTAGTGTTGAAAGCATTTCCTCCATAAAGCTGCCCTCCAGGGGCCTACACCCTCACTGGACTGCAGGAAGGTACTGGTGGACGAAGTCTCAGGTTCCCGGATGGCCTTCCCCACGCTCCCTCAAGCTGCCTAGCAACAGACTGCTGCTCCCAAGCCAGACCTGCCTAGTTTTTGCTCTAGCTACCTTTGATTTGACAGGAACCTCAAGAAAGGGGGTGTGGGAGAGGAGACACCAGCAGTAGGATGGGAGTAGTGAAACTGAGAGAGCTCTGAGGGGAACGGGTATTGAGTAGCTATTGGCATGTGACAATCAAAAACCAAGTATGTGATAGAAATCGTCCTGGGTAGAGGCAGCAAAAGAATTCCAAGTGGTGCTTTAGAAAAGGTAAAATTTGGTACTTTACCCTGCCACTGTTAATCTACATGTACCAACTGCTGTCCAACGCCTGACTGAAGAGGTTAAGTGGCAAATCTTTTCCCCGATCAACACAAATTTTTTCTTTCATACTCATTTTAAAAAGTATTCTAAATATATTTGTACTCTTAATATTCTACCTGAACTCAACGCATTTCTCATTCCTTCAATTAAAAATGGGGTATGTCAACTCAATTGAAACTATCATCTCTTTTGGGGGTTCCAAATTATAATTTGTAAAAACTGTTAAAGTATTAAATGCAATGCAGGCTAAATGCTTTGAGCTTCACCTGGCATAAAATAAAATATTAGCTGATTCATTTCAAAACAAATACAAAATGTAGACAGAACAATGATAAATTTTACTTTAATCAAATTAAAGTCAGGAATATAAAGACTCTGGCTCAATTTTTCTTTAATTTCCCAAATATCACTTATTTTCCTGTCTTAGCTTAATAGGCATACTGTAATACACTTGTTCCAGAAAAAAAAAATTCGTGATTACAAATAAAAAATATGCATCCAAAAGTCCTTATACACCATTTAATATACCAAAATGTCAATGCCAAATTTCTGCTTTTAATAAAGAAAATTCTTAACATTAAAGGAACATTGTTTCATTAATAATGCGGACTTTTAAAAGACATCTGAACATGAAATGTAGTAAAATTATTGCTTCCAAAGTTGGCACAATCTATACAAGACGACAGAATTGAAACAAAAGCAAACTGCACCAAAGCCGCCCCAAGAATCTTTCTCCCTTCTTCTGACATTTTGCACAGCTTCGCAAAGCTATCGTTTTACAGTTTTTACCTCAAAAGGGATGTCTTGCCATCTGGATACTTAAATTCTCTACATAAGATATATCCTGAGGATACTAGTGTGTTAAACCACAGGAATGTCTTAAATTTTCCATGTTAAGCAGTACAATAAATGCTTGACAAACATTAATGTGAAGTTCTGCAGGTATAGTATTTTGCCAGACAATACAAAACAATTCACAATGCAAAACCAAGAGTATTTTCATTATTTAAAAAAAAAAAAAATGCAAAAATGCAACATTTATTTCACCATCCCTGGAACTGGAAAATAGCTATTCTTTTAATTGACAGAATTTAGGGAAGTATTTTAAATGTCAAGATACACATGCTGAATGTGAGTTAGCATATAAGCACCAGAAATCTGAAAAGTTTACAAAAATTCTTTAAATGTGTAAGGTGCATTTATTCTTGAATTACATTCAGTTTGAGAGAAGAACCAGTACCCCAAAGTTCATTAATATTTAAGAAATAACTGAATAGCTTCCAAGTTGGTTTACAGCAAAATAAAAATACTGCCTTTAGTTTTTTTATACAAGTCATCTAAAATTTAGATTCAAAATTTAAGTGCTGCCTTCTATTGTGAGTAATTTGATCATTAATTTATGTTCCAGTTTAAGATACTTCATACACTATAGGTATTTAATGCCCTAACACAAAAACAAACAAACTTGAGCCATTTAGTGAACATCTCGAGTGAACATAATTCTATGTAGAGCTGGCTATGAAATCATCTGGAGTCAAATAAAAATTATTTTTTAAATGTATTTCTTGGTTTGCCATCAAAATAATGGTGACATTAAAGCATGACTCTTCCCAAACCGCTTGGTCAATGCTGGTAACAAATAAGGAAACCTACACCAGCGTTGTGCTAACTACACAGCCACGGCTCCTAAACCCCCTGGTTAGGGCACAGAAGGGCCGGGGCCCGTGTCCCTGGCTCTGTGGGGCTGCCGCCCCCGGCCTCATTCTAAGCAGCTTCTGTGAATTCAAATTATTCACATTGCCAACACAAAACCCAGAAAGCTACAGTCCTGAATACCACCTACATTTACATACTTCCTTTTTTACTGTGTACATTAAAAAAAGAATTCTGTTGTGCTTTTCACATATCTGATATAGGTTTTCATATCATTTTATTTCTAGGTTTTTTGGGAAGAGAAGAGAAAAACAGAAAAAAGGTACACCAGAAAGTCAGACTATAAAGTAACATTACACACACAACTAGCCAAGTATCTTTGTAATTTAAAAGATATTATCATTAAAAGGCAACATATATATGCATATATATATATACACGAATATGTATATACACACACATAAACACACACACACATACATAAAATAAAACAAAGTCTCCTCCCTAAAATCCGTATTATTCCATGATAGGTTTTCACAGCAACCCGTATGTATATCAATATATTTTTCACAATCTATTCAGTTATCCATTGGGTATGCTTTTAGAATTAAAAGATGTCATTACTGTAGCAGTCTAACACTGTACTATTATTAGGGAAATGTGCTTAGAAATGGTTCAGTGATTTGCTCATTATGATGACTATTTACAAAGGCGTCTATTTACGTTAGCAATAAATAATCCTGATATCAAAAGAGATAATGCTCATGCACACACCGAGATGGCCGCATGCTCCTAAAGTATTTACACGTAGCTTCTCTGTCACAGCTCAGCCATTAATAGTGAAAGTGCGTTTCCTTCAAGTTCCTCTGCATTAATCTTGCTTCTGGGGGATGCATCCTTCCATTTCGACAACTTCGGGCCATCCTTCATATTTGTTTGTGTCCTTATTGTTCTTTATGTGCTGTTCAAAGGGGCTTTTTGTCTTGTTGCCTTTCCCACCACAGAAGACCCAGTTGTCTCTAAAACCAAGATTAGTAATAGATGTACTCCCCAATTCAGCAATGAGCCGCCGTGCCTCATCATTGAGTTTGGTTGCTCCATCATCATATGTTCCCGTTAAGACTATTGTTCCATCTTGTATGGACTTCAGAAACTCAATAAATGGGGCCACATCTCCTCCCCACATGTCAAAATATTTGGTGTCTAATGCTTCTCCTGTTTTTCCATTTACTAAGGCAACATTGATCCCTCTTCCAACATTATTCTTAACACCACTCATTAAAACATTGTCTTCCAGACAGATTTTGGGTCCCACCACATTGGCTGCTCCACTTGCCATTTTAAAAGCAAAATGCTTCTCAGGGCAAGCTTTTGAGATTCCACATTTGTATCTGGGGGGTTTTGTAGAACGTGCAGCAGTGTCCAATGCTGACCTTGCAAATAGATTTCCTAAACTTGCATCCATTTTTATTTCAAATACTTGAGAAATAACATAAAATGTCAGTAAAAATACTGCCACAGCTACCACCAACTTTGCAGCACCTGCTACCCTCATGTTTCGTTTTTCAGTCTATGGCACTTTTCATTAAACAACCTCCTTGCCAGGCTGGATGCATTTTTGAAATGGCAATGCAGAGGAGTGAGAGGACTGCATTCATCGGTCTCGCGCCTGCCTTCCGGCCTCTCAGCGGTCAGTCCTGCCGGAGGCCGACGACACCCACCGCCGCCGCCGCCGCCTCCCGCTCCCTCCTCCGCTTCCTCCCGGGCTCCTCTGTCTTCCCCCTTCCTTGTGCTTTTAAATGACATATTCTTTATATTTGATTTTTGTTTTTTCTTTCCTTTTAAGTCCTGCCAATGCCTCTCTCTCTTCCTGTTATCTATCATGCTATCAAGATCTGTTATCTCAATTCTATTTGTGCTTTGCTCTCTTACTTCATAAATGTAACTTTATTTGAATACAAATCTTATCTGTTCTGTGACAGTTCTTTCTGATGGATTTTAATTTTTATAGGCAAGGTTTGCTATATTTTCCCACATTTTTCTTATTGTATAGAATTTTAAAAATAGATACACTATCATATTTTATAATTCATATCTGATGAATTTGTATTTACTTATACTTTCCTTGACTAGCTACTGGCATGTGATTAGGGAAGTGTGAGTAGGTAGGGGCAGGGGTCAACTCCTCTAGTGAAAGTTGTTTTTTTTTTTTTTATGTTATGTTAGTCACCATACACTACATCATTAGTTTTTGATGTAGTGATCCATGATTCATTGTTTTCGTATAACACCCAGTGCTCCATGTAGTACGGGCCCTCCTTAATACCCATCACTGGGCTAACCAATCCCCCCTCCCCCCTCCCCTCTAAAACCCTGTTTGTTTCTCAGAGTCCAGAGTCTCTCGTAGTTCATCTCTCCCTCCAATTTCCCTCCCTTCATTTTTCCCTTCCTTCCCCTAATGTCCTCCATGGTATTCCTTATGTTCCACAAATAAGTGAAACCATATGATAATTGACTTTCTCTGCTTGACTTATTTCACTTATCATAATCTCCTCCAGTCCCAGATGTAAAGGTTGGGTATTCATCCTTTCTGATGGTTGAGTAATATTCTATTGTATATATGGACCACATCTTCTTTATCCATTCATCTGTTGAAGGGCATCTCGGCTCTTTCCACAGTTTGGCTATTGTGGACATTGCTGCTATGAACACTGGGGGGCATATGGCCCTTCTTTTCACTACATCTGCGTCTTTGGGGTAAATACCCAGTAGTGCAATTGCTGGGTCATAGGGGAGCTCTATTTTTGAATTTTTGAGGAACCTCCACACTGTTTTCCAAAGTGGCTGTACCAACATGCATTCCCACCAACAGTGTAAGAGGGTTCCCCTTTCTCCACAACCTTTCCAACATTTGTTGTTTCTTTCCCTGTCCATTTTTGCCATTCTAACTGGTGTAAGGTGGTATCTCAATGTGGTTTTGATTTGAATTTCCCTAATGGCTAATGATGATGAACGTTTTTTCATATGTCTGTTAGCCATTTGTATGTCTTCTTCAGAGAAGTGTCTTTTCATATCTTCTGCCCACTTTTTGACTTGATTATTTGTTTTTTGGGTGTTGAGTTTGAGATCTTTATAGATCTTGGATACCAGCCCTTTATCTGTAGTGGCATTTGCAAATATCTTCTCCCATTCTGTGGGTTGCCTCTTTGTTTTGTTGACTCTTTCCTTTGCTGTGCAGAAGCTTTTTATCTTGATGAAGTCCCAAAAGTTCATTTTTGCTTTTGTTTCACTAGCTTTTGGAGATGTATCTTGAAAGAAGTTGCTGTGGCTGATGTCAAAGAGGTTACTGCCTATATTTTCCTCTAGGATTTTGATGGATTCCTGCCTCACATTGAGGTCTTTCATCCACTTTGAGTTTATCTTTGTGAATGGTGTTAGAGAATGGTCGAGTTTCATTCTTCTGCATGTGGCTGTCCAATTTTCCCAGCACCATTTACTAAAGAGACTGTCTTTTTTCCATTGCATGTTTTTTTCCTGCTTTGTCAAAGATTATTTGACCATAGAATTGAGGGTCCATATCTGGGTTCTCTATTCTGTTCCATTCGTCTATATGCCTGTTTTTGTGCCAGTACCATGCTGTGTTTTTTTGTTTTTTTTTTTACATATCTCTTGACATTTTTTGTTCCCCCTTTATCACCTTTTGTGTTAAATATACATTTTGGTGTACCATTTTAATTTCTTTCCTCTTTTTACTATATGTTTTTTGGAATTTTCTTAGTGGTTACTCTGGGGATTACAATATGCATCTTATAAAACAGTCTAGTTTAAAATAATACTAAATTCCTAACATATATATATAGTTCCCTTTCTTCTCCCCTCCCTTGTGTTATTAATTGTGTATTATCATTATATTGATTACATCTTTATATATTATAAATATATCAATATAGCTGTGTCATTATGTTAGGCAGTTGTCTTTTAAATCAATTAAGAGGATAAGTAACAAAAAATATGTTTGTATTGTCTTCTATATTTACTTATGTGTGTTAGGCAGAATAATGGCTCCCCAAAGATGTTCTTGTCATAATCTTTGAAACCTATGATGATGTTAAGTTACATGGCAAAGGGTAATTAAAGTTCCAGAAAGAATTAATGTTGCTCATCAGCTGACTTTAAGAGAGGGGAGGTTATCCTGGATTAGTAAGATGGATATAATGTAAGCACAGTGTTTTTAAAAATGAAAGAAGGAAGCAGAAGAAGAGGTCAGAGTGATATGATATGAGAAAGTCTCAACCCACCATTTCTGATTTTTGAAGATGTAGGAAGGGGTCCACAACTCAAGGAATGCAAGTAGAAGTTAGAAAAGGGAATTTGGTGGATTTTCCGCCTAGAGCTTTCCAGAAGAGAATGTAGACCAGCTGACACCTTGATTTTTTTTTTTTTTTGTTTTTAAGCCAGTGAGACCTGTGTTGGACTTCTAAACTTGAAAATCATGAGATAATAAATTTGCATTGTTTTAAGCCATTAAGTTTTTGGTAATTTTTTTTTACATTAGCCATAGGAAACTAACCCACTATGTAATTACCTTTACTCATGCTCTTTATTTCTTCATGAGGATGTAAGGTACTGCCTAGTGTCCTTTCTTTTCAGCCAGAAAAACTTCTTTTAGAACTTATTATGGGGGTATACCTGCTAGGAACAAATTTCCTTAGTCTTTTTGAAACTTGGATTTGTCTTTATTTCCCTTCATTTTTGGATAGTTTTGCTGCATGTATAATTTTTAGTGGACTTTTTCCTTTTAGCGCTTTAAAGGAGGAGGAGTTAAGATGGCAGTGGAATAGGGAGACTTCATCCTTGCCTCATCCCTTGAACATAGCTAGGTAAATATCAAATCATTTTGGGTTTTTTCTTTTCTTTTTTTATTATGTTAGTCACCATACAGTATCAAATCATTTTGCGCACCCAAGATATCTATCTGAGGACTGAGAGAGCAAAAGTGCACAACTAGGGGTGAAAAACTGCCACCTTGTGGAAGGTAGGAGCTGCAGAGAGTGGATTTTGGGGAGAGAAGAGCTGTGGGTGCTGCGATGGGGAGGGAGCCCTGATCACAGAGGAGTGAGCTAGAAAGAGAGTGAAAGAGAAAGAGCATGAAACTGCATGCAGGGAATTGCATAAGAAAAACTCTTCCCCAAAACCATAGCCCAGGAAAAGGAGTGGGTTGAATACCACACGTTTTTATAAACATTAGAGCACAGATTCTGAGTTTCAGAGGTCCAGGCCATCACCAGGGTCATGCCTGGTAGGCTTAGTGGTGTTCCAGTGGGAAAGGAGGGTAGTGACCCAGGAGTGGGCAGTGTGGTCTGAGGATCCCCTGGGTCACACTAGGAGAAGCAGTACCCTGATTGGACAGCAACATGCAGAAGAATGAAACTGGACTACTTTCTTATACCATACATAAAAATAAATTCAAAATGGATGAAAGACCTAAATGTGAGACAAGAAACCATCAAAATGTTAGGGGAGAACACAGGCATAAACCTCTTGCACGTCAGCTGGAGCAGCATCATACTAGATACATTTCCAGAGGCAAAGGAAAAAAAAAAAAAGCAAAAATGAACAATCAGGACTTAAGGTAAAAACTTCTGCACAGCAAAGAAAATAATCAAAACAAAAAGGCAGCCTCTGGGATTGAAGAAATTTGCACATAACATATCTGATAAAGGGTTAGTATCCAAATCTATAAAGAACTTATCAAACTCAATACCCCCCCCAAAAAAAACAATCATCCAGTTAAGAAATGGGCAGAAGACATGAATAAACTTTTCCAAAGAAGACATCCAGATGGCTTACAGACACATGGAAAGATGCTCAACATCACTCATCATCAGGGAAATACGAATCAAAACCACAAGGAGACACCACCTCACACCAGTCAGAATGGCTAAAATTAACTCAGGAAACAACAGATGTTGGTGAGGATGTGGAGAACAGGGAATCCTTTTGCACTTTTGGTGGGAATGAAAACTGGTGCAGCCACTCTGGAAAACAATATAGAGGTTCCTCAAAAAGTTAAAAAATAGAACTACCCTATGATCCAATAATTGCACTACTAGGTATTTACACAAAGGATACAAAAATACAGATTCAAAGGGGTACATGCACCCCAATGTTTATAACGTTATCAACAATAGCCAAACTATGGAAAGAGTCCAAACACCCATCAACTGATGAATGGATAAAGAAGATGCAGTATATGCATAATATTATATTACTCAGCCATCAAAAGGAATGAAATCTTGCCATTTACAACAGTGTGGATGGAACTAGAGTGTATATTATGCTAAGAGAAATAAGTCAGAGAAAGACGAATACCATATGATTTCACTCATATGTGGAATTTAAGAAACAAAACAGATGAACATAGGGGAAGGGAAGGAAAAGTAAGATAAAAAGAAAGGGAGGCAAACCATAAAAGACTCTTAACTATAGAGAATAAAATGAGGGTTGCTGGAGAGGATGTGGGTGGGGGGATGGGGTAATTGGGTGATGGACCCTAAGAGGGCACTTGTTGGGATGAGCACTGGGTGTT